GCTCATTGGTGCAAGAAACTGAACTGCTTCTGGCTCCGTCGCAAGTCCGGTGACCTGTCCGGTCCTGAAACTGAAATCCAGCGCCATAAGATTTCAAGGTGCGCGCTGCATTGACAATTGCAGCAGAAGTACAGCAGCGGAAAATAATTTCACGGGTAGAAGTTTAATAATAAAAAAGGACTCAAATTACGACCACCGACCGCAGACACTGTATACCCCTTCGGTGACCTTCGATATCCGGGATCAGTCGCGCCCAGGTGAGATCGTCCGCCCTCTCCGTTCTGCCCCTTACCCCAGAATGTTGCTTTTCTCTGGGTTGCAAGGTGATCTAGGCTGCGGTTTCTGGTACTACAAGCGAACCAGATCCTGATGCTTAAGTAATTCCATGAAGTCAATTATCTTTTGCCCTATTTAGCTTTGTCGTGCCGCCGCGCCCTTTTTGACGGCAGTTGAGAGGCGTTTAGCCAATGGATTATGAGGATGAGCACGATGTTTATCTGGTGAGAATTGTCAAGAACTCGTCACTCCTACGTGCCTTTGTGCCGAGAAGTTCGTTTCGATGTATTATATATTATAAAGGCGCCTGTCACAGCAGTTGGTAAATTGGTACTCATGGGTGCCTTGTTAGGGAAGACTACTAAAGTGACGGTATACCACTACCAGTAGGCTACAAAATAGTGGTCCAGGTCGCTGTGAATTGACAGCTTTCAGTATATTTTTTATCCGAATCGTTACAAATCGACTACTAAAACGCTACAAAACGACTTAGATTTGGGGTCGTTCATAAACGGAATTACGTAGGATATCACAACCCAACCGTGCGATTCATCGAACTTTACCCACTACTGCTCTGCTTTTGTCAGAAGGCTTAACAACGCCAGTAGATTGATAAAGCAACACGATTATCTATTTCAAGTAGTATTTGTGAATAATAAATGAGATCTAAGCCCAAAAATAGTTACGCTACAATAGTAGTGTATACGGTAATCATTTTGTTGCAGAATATCTCTACTTGGTGTTTACAGGGCATGGGTATGCATCTTGTAAGTTTGTCACAAACTCTAGACTAATTGTGGTCTTAGGAATTAGGGAAACCGTATGATCGCATTGTTATAGGTCGGCCTACAACAAATAGTTCGTAGTTGCGCTAACGCTGTTGTCTATACCCATTGGTCTTAGCGTTCCATTTTATACTTGTGCCTCGCAGCAAGTGATATTCTTCACCGCAGCTACCAATGTTTTAAAGACAGTCACTTGAGGATGCCCCAATTGTGCCGTTTCTGATACCCAAGTAACAATACGGTATTCCATCTCTGAAATCTTCCACCAATATACTGGTTATAGCCAATATGTTTATAGGTACTTATTCCGAATTTCAGTTTTCTGTAATCACTGTTTTACCCTAAGCAGATCCATTATTGAACTCCTAGCGTGTCACCATTTTCGAAGACGTCAGATATCACTAAAAGAAGAAATATATTTCTTGTTTTGCATATATGCAATGATGTTCGTTATTGAAAAAAAAAACTATTCTCATCCCGTTGGCAACGTCGGGAATTGTTCTAAAGAGCAAGTATGCTCTGACTTGTAATGCTTAATCACTATAAAAGCATCAAAATATATGATCATCAAAACAGCGATATATTTAGGTCGCTCATTTTGTGCAGGGTATATTCCTAATTTACATGTAATGCATCAGGTAAAAGTATATGCATATATGTACTTTCTGAGAAGCATAAATTTCTCGGAAATACTTAACGACACTTATTTTCAGTCTTTACTGACGGCTTGGGGAACAGGTATATCAATAACTGTATGAGGGACTACACTTTATCCAGTATCTCAGGTACCCATGTCTGATGAATTGTATTAACATGTGCTATCGGGTGGAGTTTCCTCCAGTCATTCAGATACTGGTTGTTATATACGTATCCATCTGGGAGTACCCGACGATCAGATGTATGGACAACTTATAACTCTTTGGCGCCGTATCTATAAAGATTGGTGTTAATAATAATAAATATTACTAGGCTAAGGCGCGCGCAAGTTGGGGCCTTGGAAGACATCATCCCGATGGACTCAAGCGAAGATGGGTATCGGCCGTCGAAGGAGCGTATCCCATCTAACGGACTAGGTTGACGCAGCCTTGTCACATCCTAACGCTCGGCAATAAGATTCCTTCAAGGCTTCGTGAAATACGCTAAGTGGCTGGCCCATCTCTCTTGCATAAACCACTTCTGCACGAGTTATCTTTACGGCGAACACCACACTGTACAAGAGAGCATGGCTATACCTAGCCTAGATTTAGGCCAATTAGTGGATGCAGCGGATACTGTGCGGGAAAGCCAACTCCCACACTGAAGTTCGCCACTGTCTACCTGCCCCTTACACGAGCGACGAAGATAAGGAAATCGAAATGTTGCGCGCTACAATCGCCCGTCTGTCTACGACTGAACGCCGGAATAGACAGCTGGACAATTTGGATGATCTGCAACGCCAGATGACCGAACTCAGGGACATGGTCATCGGAGGCCGCAACACAAGCCGCCCGACTCCACGTGATTCAAGGTAAAATTCGCTCGGTATGACAAATAGTCCAGCTTCAGACGTGGACGGCATCTGCTGTTACCCCTGAATTCGGTGATAAGACTAGGTGTTGCAAGCCGAGTCTCAAACGTAACCATCGGTCGTCAGAAGACTAGTAGGCCGACGTGTCACGACGATCACGTTCGGTGCATCCAACACAGGTCGTCTTTGCATTAGGAAGGGGAATTCTCTTACTCAAAAGGTGAAAACAATGCTACTACATACACTGTACTACTCCCCACCTGAAAAACCAACGAGGAGGGCTGTTTCCAACCGGGAACACAGCCACGTATTTTCTACTGCAGATCATTTTGCTACTGACAAGTAGTCAGTATCAAAACACCAATATTCCATAATGGGCAGTTATNCAGTTATTAGTCGTTTTCACCCAAAATCTACCAACTCCTTGGAAGATGAATTTGTAAGTCAGCCAAATTAATAACACGTCTATCTGAGAGTTAATTTTAATACTTTTAGTAGCTGTCTGCGTTTAGACGAATATGTGTAGGCGCTGTTCTAACGGAATCCCGGTTATACGATAACGGAATAAATGAGGCCCGGAACCAAAGCAGTAACGTAAAAGAAAATGTTAACGCAACCGTCCGATGTTGACAAATGGAATCACGTTTTGTAGATTCGGTCCGGCGCCTGGTTGCAGTATTCAGAAATGGAGGTAATTTTGGTTGTACACAATGATCGAGCTTATTTTGCAGTAAGATGCATTCGGTGCAGAGGAGCTATCAGGAAATCGGAATAAGGAGCGAAGTGAAACCGGTCAAAGTAAAACGATAACCACAGAGAAATGATTGATATATGAAATTTAATCTTGAAAACATTAAAAAAATCTGTTGGACCCCTCACTAGAGATGTCAGAGGTGTGGGAGACTAAAACTACAACGATCACGCTCAACACCACCGATGACATCAGAAAAATCAGCATCACGGGTGAAAGAATGAGTCAGATTGGAGGTTGGAAAGGGATTGTCTACATTGAAGTCAAATTATTGCCAGAACTCTTGAGTACAAGTGGTTTCCTCGTCCCTGGTACAGAAGATGATAACCAACAATATAGGATGGGAATTCTTCTGATTGTTTGCTGTTCGGTATTAAGAGGATTATCTTCCGACTTGGGAACGGGATACAAATTGATTATCGGTGTTTACACTCCACTGTATATGCCGGATCGCTCGAGTTTAATGGGGAAGCCG